CGCCACTGTACGGACCGACGTCGACGTCCGACGCGCCAGGAGAATTTGCGTGCGCAGGCAGAGCGCGAGAGCAAAGCACAGCGAGCGCACCGTATAGCGCGCCTACACTACTACCAGCACACAGCATCCCGCTTGTGCTGCGATCTTCCGCCTACGCGGCCGGCGCCTGCAGTCGCGCGCCCGCAAGCCCGCAAGTTCGACTCGTGTCCGAGGAGCGCGCACACGTCTCTCTGTCTCTCCGATAGAGCAGACGAGACGCAACGGCACAAGCAGTACACAAGCACAAGTAGTGTGTCGACGGCAGCAACTAAGGCCGCGCTCGCATCCCAAACTTCGCATTAAACCCAACAACCAACAATTTAAAGGGCCTTCGATTCTTTAGACAAGCTAAGAACGTTGCGCAAGCCACTTCGATCGTTTTCTTTTTTCACGGATTTTTCCTTTTCAATTTTTGCAAAACTAACAACCTGCTCGTTCTCGTTGTCGTTCAAGTACGCGTTCGTCAGCGAGACTGTCTTTGACATATGTCATAATATATAACCGATTCGTTGCGTGATTGACTGTTGCAGAGTGATATAACCGAGTGTGTGAGTTTTTCCGATAATTCGTTTAGGTGTGATAATTTGAGATTACCTTAAGTATAAGAAAAAAAAAAAAGTGATTCGACAACATAGTATATTGGTGGACAATATATTGCATTATCATTATAAGTGATCGAAAGGACACGACTGTCGATTCGCATCGCTCTGTGTATGTGGGTGAGACAAGTTGGGCGCTGAAGGAAAGATTCGTTTCAAGAATCCTTTGGTTTTTCCTTTTGCCCAAGGCTGTTATTGTTGTTCATTGTGTGTCGGGCCGCGAAAGACAGGAGTTAAGAGGAAGTGATAACAACAATTTTTTAAGACAATCATCATCGAAATCGATTCCAATCGATGGAATAGGGTAAGTTTTATATATTGCACCCAGAGCATCCTTTAACAAACTATAATTAAATTTTTTTTTTAATTCTTTCTACTTTTTTTTTAACTTTCTCTCTTAATTAATTATAGTAAGGAATCAGATCGCAAATGAATAAATTTAGTGAACGCGAGTGTTTATATCTAAAAATGTGAGCTTTGAAAAAGAAACTAAATAACAAGTGTACCTAAATCAATGATATAATTCATTTTTACTTGGTGATCCAATTTTCAGAGCAACAATTAAAAAAAAATGTTTACGGGTGAGTTATTCGAAAAATTATCGTTTAGAATAAACGCTTAGTGAGAAAGTAACTTAATTCAAGATAAATTCGTTTTCATTGCTGGCATGATGAATATAAAAATCAATTAATTATTTCAAGTCTACAATTGCACATTTTTATACAACTAAATAACATGAAATTTGTCTGAACCGGCAATTTATTGGTAATGAATAACAAGTAAACTTCTTTTTTTCAAATTCCACATCCATGATTAACTTTCGGTCAGATAAAAATTTTAATGTGTTCTAAAATATAAAAAAATAATTGCAAAAAGGTGAAATACTAAAGAAAAATAAGGTTCAACTTCACTATAAATTAAAAAATAAAATTTTCTCGGGAAAAGAGTCCGTATTGTAATTTATTCAAAATTTATAAGTGGATGAACGAATGGCTTATTCTAACACCGTGCATGCTGCACTCGAAGCGCTATTACTATTCTGTGTGGTCCGTCGGAAGGCTCGTTTGTTTTAGCGATCAACTGTAATTTATACTTTTTCAATTTTTTGACACAGGTCATCATATTAATTTTCTATCTTTAGTTCAAAAGTTAATTTTCTTTTCTACGTTCTCAAACATGATCTATTGTAGAGTTTTGTGCAATCCTGTATACTTAATAAGTACTCACAAATCCCTAAATAATAGATTATTTCAATTTCGCGACAAAACCTCTATTCAAAATTCTTAGCTATAACAAATATTACTAAACTTTCTTTAACTTCGCAATACACTCCGTAATTTTTCAACTATACACAAAACACAACATAACAACAAATTCTGAGAAATGCTCTGATCATTCTTGTAAAAACATCAAAATTGCCTACAACCTCTGCAACTACACAAAAATTCTGTGTAAATTAGTGTAAATTTAAAAAAGAATCAGCAGTTAAAACTAGCCTCAGCGACGGAGCTTCGCAACTGACGAACAAACGCAAACTATGACCGTTTCAAACTTAGAATCGTGAAAAGGTGGAACATACTGCGAGACCGGCAGTTGCGCGTAAACTGGTCAATCCAGTCATTCATCCGGTACATAATATATGCACGTACATACGTATAGAAACGCAAACGCACTTAGATACAAAAGAAAAGTAAAGTTTCAAAAACTTGAAAGTAAAAAAGCAGACCACAGCATAAACTGTAGTACATGGATACACACATTCATGGATATGCTCTCACCACTACTGCTACAATTCTAAAAATCAAACGCACAGCCCTGCACAAGCAGCAGGCCAATGGCCTCCCTCTCTTTTTCTGATTATACATCAATGAGTGGGAGGGCGCGAGTGACCCGCAAAGTATATCAAATGAGTAAAATATAATACCGCGTGTCGGAAACAGTCAGTAAAAGAGAGAGAGAGAGAGAGAGAGAGAGAGAGAGAGAGAGAGAGAGAGAGAGAGAGAGACAGATAAAGCAGTTTTTGTTTTACACTTTGTCTAGTTAGGAGATAAGTGCGTTTCACTATAATTGATGTATTTTTAATAAAAAGTAGAGTTGTTTTTTACTATTGAAATAGCTGTTTGTTCCCCGTATATAGCAGTATACTGTGTACTATTAAATTTCAACTTTATGATTAAAGCTTGATAAATTGATGAAGCTTTTATTCAAAATTGTAAATATTTCATTATTCATCTAGCTATTTATTCTGGCAAACATTTCCTCGTCATTTTCTCTAAATACAATCGATTATTTTTCATCGTTATTCGCTATTGATACTTTTGTACCAATGCAAGGTAGTAATTTCGTTATTTTAAGATACAAGAGGCTCCAAATTAATCAATTGCCCGTAATTTGTTTATGTTATATAGCATATTATTTCACATTCAACCACAAGTAATGAATCAATTTTCTTCATTGCTGATATTTGTGAATTAATCTGAGTGATTCGGTTTTCTACACGCTAGAATGATAACTTGTGTAGAAATCGAAATTAAGGGTAAGCTAAAACGAGTTGTAGCCAGGCGTTTCTCAAAATTTGCCACAAATTATTCGATTCGGAATGAGCAAAATTTTGAAAACTATGAAATTCAATATTAGAAGGTGTGAGTTGAATTATTGTAGCATAAAGTCTTTTTTTTCGTGCAAAAAGAAGAACGATAAAAACGTCGGGTAAAACAACCTATAAATCGAACAAATATCAACGCACACATTCGAAACGATGATACATCGAGACTTTGCATTCAATATGCGGCATCGTGCGCAAAATCGATCGTTTAATGAGGTAGTAGTAGCAACAGTACCAACATCAACGCGTTCTGCTCGCGCCAGCGATTAATGAACTGTTTTTATGTCACGGTCATGTGCACGAGTGAGAGAAAAAGGCATACATGTGACAATGAATTAGTTGCTTGCTATTGCCGCACGTGTTGAAAAGTCCGATGATCCTGTCCGTTTTTTTTCGCGTAAACTTTTTTTTAATAATAATGCTCATGCATTTGTGTACATAGGTGTGTGATGCGTGGGTGCGAACGTGAGTAGACGTTGACGGATTTTTAATAATAAAAATACTTTCCTGGGCATACTTTATGTGTAGCTTTTTTTGGTCCATCTAACAAGCTGTCAGTTGGACACAATGAACAGCACGACGACCGGCTGACAGTTACATAAAAGATGTTCGACCGCCCGGTAATTCAGAGAACAATAACCTTTCGGTTTTATAAATAAAAAAACTGCAATAAACACTCTGGGATGCATCTGCAGCAGAATGATTGATTGCTGGTAGAAGTATTTACAAGTCATAGCGAATTCATTCAGTAATTCAATCAGTTATTTAACATTTCTTATCAAACAATTAGCTCGAGATTTTAACGCGATGACACCCACATTTTCAAAAATTAAAGACGAGGAACATTAAAGTTAAAAAACATTAAGAAGTATTTTGTTTACACAGAAGTATTTTGAAAATAAAAAATCGATTCAAAAAGATTTAATAAGTTGGAAGGAATGAAGGTTTGGCTTAGGTATAGAGAGTAGTAAAGGGGTCGAGTACATTCGGTGGGGCTCGAGAAAAAAAGTAGCAGCGGCAGCAGCAGCAGCAGCAGCCGTCCACCTCTGTGTTTTTATCTTAAGACGTAGGATTTAAGAGGGGCGAGCGCAGGGTTGACCAGCAGCCACTGCTCGGCAGTGGAGCCGAGTCGTAGGAGGGGGGTCAAAAGAAAAGGCGCACACACGTACGAGTCAAGTTTTAAGAGTAGGAGGAAAGCTCAGGTCTGTTGGGCAAAGAGCGGGCTAACGGTATAGGTACAGGGCAGGGGATGTAAACGTCGACTGGCCACGAAGGGGTAGTGGAGAGCGAGTCGGAGCTCCAGCAGTAGCAGTAGCAACATCAAGCGCAACCCCTCTTCTCGCGCCCTCAACTTGGGGTAACGCTCGCACACGTACAGAGGGGTGGGGATAAGACTAACCGGTTACGCGAGTGTGTGTACACAGAGCACCAACACACACGTTGGAGAGGCTGAGAGTGGAGGAAGAGAGGTGGATGGCTCGGAACGGGAGGAGGGTGGCTGTATGCTCGTCTCTGCGCCTGGTGGGGGAGGTTGCTTTTCTCACTCGTTCTCTCGTTCTCTTTCTCGCCCGCTGCTTCTCTACAGCTACCCTACGCGCGAGAGCTGTGTACGTGTACGTTTACGTAGGTACACATATCGCGCGCGGCGGACTGCAGCTCTCGCAGCAGCTATCTCTATCCGTGTGCGCTGGCGTGTGGGTGTGTGCACGCGTGTGGGGTTAGGCCGCTATCTCGTCGTCAGTAGCCAAGCGGCGGCCTTATCACGCGGGTGTGCTGTGTGCCGCGCCGCGGGTAGCTCGCGTGGTGCTACCGGTTCACCCACCGACGACGATCCACCACCTCTCGCATACGCTTCGACGACACCGAGCAGCAGACGAGAATTATATACATAGCGGTAGCGAAGCGCGCGAGAGAGAGAGAGAGAAAAGAGCGCCCACGAGAGAAGGAAGGAAGGAAGGAAGGAAAGGGGCTGGAGGAGACGCGCGCGCCTCGCCACGACCGATCACTTAAGACGCCCACAGCTAGTGCGCACCACACCTTGTGTAACGTCGCCGCGTGCGCGCGTATGTGCTAGCACACACGTCACCCCCTTGACCATCACCCATAGAGAAAGAGAGAGAGAGAGAGAGAGAGGCCACCCACCCACCCTCCTGCCAAGGAGAGCATCGCAACCCCTTCTCGGCGCAGCAGCAGCAAACGGAGCCGGAGAAAGATAAGGCGCACGTGAGAGAGAGCAGCAGCAGCAGCAGCAGCTAGCTCAGATCTCTCTCAAACGCGCGCTGACCACCGAACAAGGAGGACACGCGGCGTGTGTCCGCGATTATTCAACCAACTTCGCTTCTTCTAATCAACTCGAGCCGGTTGTGCATTGCAACAACAGTGTCTTTTTCTAACTCCGGTGTGCTCTCTCAGTGAGTGGGTGTTGTTCTTCGTCTTCTTTTATTGTGATTTTATCGCAATTTTTCAACAACGATTCGTCTTTAGTGCCACTTACAGTTTTTTCCAATTTTTCATTTTTCTCGCAAGAACATGTGGTGCTACTGAATTTTAACCAAATATAGTAAAGCGCTTAACAATCGAGTGCAAAGTTATACGTTCACCGTTGCAGCGAATAGTGAAGTACAGTTCTCGGTCGAAGGGGACATGACTCGTCGATAATTGGTGTTTTTTTTCTTTTGCGTAAAATTAAAAGTACACACCAGTGACACATGCGTTAACTAACATTGTTCATAAGGTAATAACATTGAAGAAGATTCGAAAAAACTTAGTAGGAATTTTTAATTTTTAGTTATTTCATATCCGTGAAATTGGTGTTCATGAAGTATCAATAGTATTAATATTTTTATTATTGTTATTGTTATTACTAACATTATTGCTTATTAATAAATTATATAATTTTGTATCGTTTCAATAAATTTTCATCCCTTTTCTTTTTAGTAGTTTTAATGTTATGAATTAAATTTATTTTTTATTTTAAGTTTATTTACAAAAATTTTATATGTGCTTATGTGCAGTGCGTTGACAATAATACGATGAACCAGTTTTCGCATCACGCAATCAAACAGAGCTGATTGCAATTATCGAATTCATTATTTGAATTTTCCAAATGTCATCGGTATTTTTGTCAATGCACTATTCATTATTTGTGTTATTAGTGACTGTTAAATAAAACGCAAACGTACTCAATGTTTATTAGAAAGCTTACTCCATGGTAAACTTTCTTATAATGATTTGAAAAAGTTTACTTTTAAGCACTAATCATGTGCGAAATGAATCGATGAATCGAGCTTGCACGTTTAGTGTAACAGCGCGTATCGATTCTATTCGAGAAAAAAGCCTGTGTAATTACTTGAATTTGTAAAAACGTTCAAAAAAGCAAAATAACGCCTATACTTGTGAATTAGAGAATGCATTATTTACCTTTAATCGGAATAATTCCAATTGTACAGTTTATTACATGCTACGCATACGTACAGCGTATTCCTTATATGGCGTACTTGAGTACCGGCTTAAAAAAATTGATGTATTTTTGCGTTAGTAGTGAGGCCGCTGAAGTACAAAACATTTTTCGAGTTAGACTCTCATTGTAATTGGCATATATTTTTCTTCGTAAAATATATGAGCTTGTGCATCGTTTTGTGTTTATTTTTATTTACGTTTCGCATCCCTTAAGATCCATTACGGCCCATTTTACATCGAGCATACCCTAAAACTATATAAAATATTATTTCAAATATAAATTTAGTACTTGACCAGATTCACGAGCTTTAAAGCTCAGTAGGAAGAAAATTTGAATAGTAGTTTTTTTATATGCAAGATCTTTTAACAGTGACAAGATTACGAGTTCAAACTAGATGTTTTACTTGTTCAAAAGGTTCATTTAGTTCTTTGAGAATAAATTAAGGGGATATAGTAGCTAGTAATAATATCAAAATTTCAATCCAGTTTTCTGAAACTTCTACTGAATATTTTGCCAAAAGGCTCTATGGCGACCTTAAGAACATCAAAATGAAGGTCGCCATAGAGCATTTTCGAGAAATATTCAGTAGAAGTTTCAAAAAATTGGATTGAAATTTTGATATTTCGGCTGGCTTCTATATCTCCTTAAATTTACTAAACTTTTACTAAACTTACTAAATTTACTAAACAATATTAAACTATATTTCTTAAATTGCTCGAATCAGTTTTTCACTTTTCAATGTACAAAAATCTCCTTTATGCGACTGTCAAATCCTGTCAAATCCTCTTTCCACATTTTGTACGTGTACGACACGAGACTTTTCCGTGATATAACATCGACATAACGGAGAGGCAACTGTTGAACTATACGCCTCAGACAACACTCCTAAGTATGTGCAATGTGCATGTATCGACTGTAGTATAGAGAAGCAGAGCGAAAGAGGATACATGCAGTCTGCACGGCCGCTACTGCAGCGTGAATGATGAATTTCCGAAGGGACTCGAGAGCGCGGCTACAGAAAGGCCCTCTCTAATAAGGGAAGTTTGAGGGATGCGTGTGTACAAGCTGGATGCTTATAATATTGCACGGGTAACCAAACCACGCAGTTGTATTTGTGTGTGCGTGCGCGTGCTTGTCGTCTGCCGATACGAGCAAGAGACCGTGGCAGAGCTTTTGGTCATGTTATACGAGCGGGCGCGTACGATGGGGTAAAACTTGATGTATAGAACGAGAGGGTCGAGAGATGCGCGAGTCACGATGCGATGATGTGTCGTTTCGTTGACATTGATTGAACTGCATTTATTCGGATTAATTTTCAGCTTAAAATCAACGTTTTCGCAAATTTGCATAAGAATGCAGGCGATGAATAAATCGAAGTAAAATTATATACGTTATAATTCACGTACACGTAGCCGAGTAACTCGGAAGGCGGAAGCTTGTAAGAGTGAAAGAAGAGTGAAAAAGAGAGACGAGAATGACAGGGGGCTTAGAGGGATTGCTTGAGTGGTTGATCAGCGACAGAATTAAACTCGGCGTCTCCATTACGCGCCAGAACGAGAAAGAGAGAGAGAGAGAGAGAGAGCGAAAGAGACCAATCTTATGACTCTACTCGCGCTTCCCCTCTTTTTTGACGACGATGACACTCTTTATCTGCACTTCCGCAAACCCCGCAACGTAGAATTGACTACATACACGCACAGACACCGCTCGGCAGTTTACTACAACTAAAACGGATACTTACCTCTTCGATGTATCATATTCTCTTTTGCTTAGTGTTTGTTTGTGTGTTTGCTAATGAATTTTCCACAGCCAATTAGCTCGATAGCTCCCGGGCGACGCTTATAATATCCACAATATATAATAGAGAGAATACATTCTTGATTAAACTGTAGCATTGGCGAAAGCGCACCGGAGATAGTCGCACGCGGCAAAGCTAAGTTTTCAAACTTATATAGCTAAGAGGTTAAGACGGGACTGAGATTTGAGTGCCTTGCAGCGCGTGCATGGCTTTGGGGATTAATCTAGAAATGCTCAAGTTATGCGTGACGCCTTCAAGTCATTTTACTTTAATTTGTTACGTATATATACACTTGTATAGATACAACTTATTCTCTTGCGAAAATCGCAATAAGTTATTTAGGTATCTCGGAATACTTGTATCGAAAAACTTATGCTAACAATGATGAATGGTTTTCTGATAGTCATAGTTTGGGTCGGTAAAGTATCAATAATTTCTATTAGTTTGCAAATATCAAACTATTGGCAGAAAACTTGGAGTAAAAGACGTACGGATATTATTTTCTAGAAATATGATTACTTCCTCGACTTGTAAGATTAACTTTTTTAAATAGCTTTTCATTACGTATTCAATTCTTGAATGGTATAATAATTTGACTTACAGCCGAAGCGATGCGGTTGCAACAGCAAATAAGCCCAATAATAATATACACTAGTTTAGAGTAATTCGACAGTTTAATGCTGTTACTTATACTCATTTTTGAACATCCAAACTACTACAAATATTCATCTTCAAGAAACATAATTATCATTCTTCAGACAATTAGTCGATTAAGAATGTTTCACTTCTTCTTTTTTTTTGCATTCTTTGAGTTTGAAACGCGCGTAGAAACCAAGTAGTGATGAAAATTGAGTCTGGTAGCACTAGAAAGTTTAAAAACAAATAGTTATAAGTGCATGAATATTGAGTGGTAGGAGAACTTTGTACAAAGTTTATTCCAGTTAGTTTTCTATATCGATTCTCATTCTCTGGATCAATGAAAAGCTCTGTATCATCGAGTACAGTTCGTACAATCGCGAGCTCGAACAATCGCACGAAAAAAAAGTTCTGTGCACGTAATGATAATCGACTACTAAACAAAAGCTTGATGCATAATGGGCCACTCAGAGAGTTATTTAAAATACTTCGCTACTGCAATAGTAAACGGATGACTTGAATTGTGACTTGAATTTCCAACGATCAATGTAAGTTTAAATCAAATGATATTTTTGACTTCTTGATGCGAAAACGAAAAGTTGGATCGAGTAAAGCGCAGGTTAGAAGTTGTAGCGGGCATTATTATCAGCCACTAAACGTTCGATTAATGCAAAAACTCAGGTCATGAAAAGAGAAAGCTCGGGTACATATGAAATAATGCTGGCGCGCTCGAGCAGGCGGCAAACTTCAAAGGTCAACGAATTTAATTAACGCAATCAAATGAAAATATTCTCGCGCTCGCACTGCAACAGCAGCATTGACATTCGTTTGTAAAGTATGCGTGGCTGTGTGTGAGCACGCGAATAAAATTAAAGCACATATACACACTCACGCATACATCGATTGTAATAAAGTGGGTGGAAGGGTTGTTGTACTCGTCCTCTTTACCGCCCGGTCTCTCTCTCTCTCCCCCCTTCACACTCGCACACATACATACATTTGACTCATTATGCAAAAGTTCGTTGCGCGTACTTTCTCTCTCTCTCTCGCTCGCGGTTTCGATATTCGTATTCACACACTCTCATGTACATTCGAACTGTGTACGCTTGTGTAAGTAGAGATGCTCGTTCGTTTTGAAAACGGCGTGTGTAGCATTGACCCAGAAATCTATCATTGCTCTTTCAATGAATTGTGCGTGTGAGTGCGATCGGTTTACGTGATTCTTTTAATTTTGACAAGCGAGCTTTGCTTGTGCATTAACAAAAAGCACATTGCTACCAATAATAAGCGAAAAAAATAAGAAAAGCTTGACTCTTTATTAGATCTGTAGATTAATTACTTAACTCTCGCAAAAGTTGTTATATAATAAAAAAAGTATGATTTTACATTTATTGTACATAAATTACTAGGTAAGAGTTTAATAAATACTGGCTGATATCATTCAATAAATCAAGGTAGAAGAAAAATTCTCAAATACAATGAATAAGATATTTTGCAGTTAATAATTGTTAAAACATTAGAATTTAAAGAGTTATTTCATGAAAGCGAGTAGAATTTGCCAATGAGATTTTAACCATTTGAATGCATATCCTAGATCCAGCTGGGGGGTAGTACTTTGAGCATTTGCTCAGTAGGTGGCGCGACCATACTCAATGAACGAGCCAGTAGTTCTTCGTCGTTTGAACTCGTATAGCTTTGCATGCGCATGATCGTTCTCAACTTTTGAACTTGTTTTCAATTTTCATTTCTATTATCATTAATAAAATTGTTTAGTTTTATTTAAAAAACTCTTCAAACAGAATTACTATAAATTTTATAGCTTATTAGAGGTCATTTTTTCAAATGCAACTATGATATTGCGGCTGACATTTAAGTGGCTCCTAATGAAAATCGTGAATTAATTTAACTGTAGAATTTAATTAAACAATCAAGTTGTAACAATTTTCACTCTATGATGAAATCACTTTGAACCCTTATTTAATAAATTTGCAATAACTATAAAGAAAAAAAGAAGGGCGTAATATCATGGTACTTTAATTATCATTGCGTTAAATTTCTGATTCAATTGACTTTTCTGGCAAATGCCACTTTTACGCAAGGTAATCATCATCGTCGCAACTGCATCGAAGTGTAAGGGAGAAGACGGGCGCTGGCTAATAAAAAAAAAGTCGTCGCGTGCTGCCTCGAGCTCGAGTCATTGAATTACTTGACGCGCGCGCCCGCGTCTGAGCGAGACAATCCCTGCCCTTGGCTCATTGTACATATCATACGAGCGCAGTGAAGATGACGATGACTGCAGCCTCAGATATACTCGTATCCCTAGTCACGAGACTTGGTCGGGGAATAAAAGACTTTTTCGATGCTTTTCATATGCAACTCCTGCGAGAAGATTGCCTTATTAAATATCTCGATGTTTTGTATTGCGCTCGAGGGAGGGCTGCCGCGAGAGACGAGCTCGTTTACGTGGCTAATTATCATCGTAGTCGCTCGCAATCGTTATTTTTATTATCTTTTCTGCCCTGGCTTCTCATTTGAACGTGCGCGTTCTTATTTATACGCGGCGCATAATGCTCAGCGTCTCTTGCAGCCATTTCTTTATTTTGTGTTCCGCAGTTGACGATTTTCCACTTAAGTGAATACGTTCAAATGCGTACGTGCTTACGCATACGCGGGGGTTGCAGCTCAAGTTGACTTTTTCACAAAGTAATGACCGTATGTTTTTTTATTTCTGTGCAGATTCATCGTATAAGGTTCTGAGCCCTCGTGATCTGGCTGTGCAATACGGATATAGCGGCCCAAAGGGTAAGTCATCTGCAAAAGCATTTTGTCGAAAATAATAAAACGAGTTAGAAAATTGAACGAGCGTGAGTGCAGAAAAAAATCTCGTAAGAAAGTGTTTAGCGGAGAGTATGTCCAGGTTTAAGTTGAATACAGCGATGAAAACATAAATCTAAAATAGTAGGGGTCGTCCCTGTATCAAAGTACAGGGCAATAATAACAATGGTATGTGGGTTGGCAGAGACAGAGCCCTATCTTCGCTGTGTTTACATTTTCTTGATGCTGCAGAATTAAACTCAAGCTGGTGTACATTATATATATATATATGGCTACGCGAAAAAGCTCGAGACGTGAAGTAGACAAGTGCATTAAAATGCTCGGTATAGCGCAGAATGAAATTTTCGCAAACTGAAGAGGCTTCACTGCCACCGCGCGCACTATGGAACGAAGGAGAATAAGAAAAGAAATAACGTCATAATATCACGGCGAAAGCGCGGCGCGTAGGAAGCGCGATACAAATGAAGGACGTACGCGAAGCACAAAGGAATGCAAAGTAAGAATCTCTTTACTACTCGTCGCGAGCTCGCACGACCCGCGTACTATGCACTAGGCCGTACGTGTGTGTGTGCGCGCGGCTGTGTGTGTTGCACGCCTATACACACGTGGAACGCTTTTATGTGTCAGAAAAAGAGCCGAGGCTGAGTGAGCGAGCGAGAGGCTGAAGATGACATTATCATAGAAGACGTATGTGCATTTTTTTCCTTCTCTTTAGCCTGCAACCCCGAGCTCTTTTGCCTTGTGAGTTTTGTGCGCGATCTCTCTTTTTCTTTTTTTTTCCATCGTCAAGTTGCAGAATAGAGATCAGAAAAATGCTGTGAATCGATCGGTCGTATAAATGTGTAAAGGATGTAAACAGCGGAAACCAAACCGAGATATCATTGTGGTTTTTTATACATTATAAAATTTGCACGCGCTTTCAATGCGATCGATTCGTTAAGTGAAAACGTTGACGATTTTTATCCAGCTTGGGTAGACATCACTCGATATCTTCTATTTGTAGAGAGCACCTTGCTACGCTGTAAGTTTTACATAATGTGTAGGCATTATATAGATTAAACAAAAGACACAAAAAAGCGAGATAACGAGGCCAAGCGCTAATGTAGCTGATTTAAGTATTTAGCGTAGCCTTGGACACATCTAGTTGCTCTATAGGGACAAGAGCAGCAGCAGCAGCATCACCGTTAATTAATCTTTATAAGGTCGACGACGGTCAACGGATAAAAAAAAGATTCTATACGCGGAGAAGCCATATAGTCGTCGCTGATGTTGCTTGGCGAGCACGTCCAATTGGAGTTTCGCGAAAGAGGAAACGGAATCGCGATTAAGCGAGCTATCATGCGAGCAGTGAGGAGGAGAGGAGGTTCTCTTATTTTGCAGAACATGGCGGACTCGCCTGCGCGCCTATTGAATAGCTGCTATAGAGAGACAGAGAGAGATGTAACGTATAGAAGTGCAGTTCTTTCCGGCGAGAGGACGAATGAGGCCGGATCTTCGCTTCGCGACCAATAGCCGCGTATTGAGGAGTGCTCGAGAAATGAGGTAACGATGATGATGATGATGATGACGACGACGACGACGACGACGATGACTGCGATCGTGATGATGACGATGGGCTTCGATGTATGAGGCCTGCCTCGTATGTCTGTGTGTGGTTAATAGACGAGATTGCTACCGGCTCATACGAGATACATTTATGCTCTAGGACTTTATCTATTGACATCTTTGAACTTTAGGAATTGCATTGAAAATATATTCAAAATTTAGATATCAACTGAAATTATCGTTGAGAAAGAAAATTTGTTTTCAAATATTTATTTTTTACTTATCTTTTGCCTATCGTTTCATTGACTGTGGCTTTGTAATGGTAGATTTTTCGATCAATTTAAATGCGAACAATACACCAAAACTGCGCTCTTACACAATCGAATTTGATTATAAAAGTATCTCCTGAATCGTTGCATTGAACATCTCCAATTATCGTTAGACTGTCAATTAGGCTACATAAGGCAGAGGTCACAAAGATGCAACTAGTCTTTATGCGGCGATCACGCGATATCGAACGCAATATATGCAACGAAACGATGGATATAATACCTGGTCGGGCGGTCATCCGTGAAGGACGACTAACATCGTAGATTACAGAAAATATATACTCAGGATAAGATCATGTAATCGTTTTGTGCACGAAATACCTTCCAAGTGGATCGAGGCGCAGTTTAGGATCGGCGAGCGCGCATATGTACTTGGCGAAATTGACGCGCGCTTGATTGAGTGATGCTACATTGTCGTGCACGAGATCATGACCGTCTATTTTCGTAAATTTACAGCGCGTGAACTATTTATAAATTATTCACGTGCTTGCAAGAAACATCGTAATCCAATAATTTTTACATATTTGTTCTTGGGAAACGGCGCACGACAGGTTAGCGGTTAATATGCGTATGCAGAAATGCTCCTATCTACTCTCCGTGGCACTTCCTTTTTCCGTGTTAGAAAGCTCGTGTATATCGTGAAACCAGCGACTAAACGTTACGCACAAGAAATGGCAACGAAAAAGGCCTGTGTACATGCTTGACACAGATAAAAAAAATTGGTTATCTCGCGTACTCGGTGGCGTATATTCTTCGCCTTTTTCACGCGACACATGCATGCGCGGAAGAAGGAAGATTAAATTTGTCCTTCTCTCGCATGATGAATGAGAAATCAAAAACTTTTGTGTTGTTATCAACACGACGATGTACTCTTAATGTTTCTATTCTTTGCTTACAATCATTTAAGAGGCGGAAGAGGTGGCCGCCTGAGTTTTGATAAAGCCTAATTACTTATCAACTTTTTGTAACCGATAGCTGGTTAGGGTTACTTTTAGATTTCCGTTCAGTCAATGGATATCATATAACGACGTAAAATCTCTCAAGTTTTTCGATGAACTTTTAACTTGTTCTAAAAGAATTAGAAAATAAAATATCCATTCGTTCGATGATTACGAACAACAGTAGCGGTAGCAGCGATGCGTCGATACGAAGTTAGCTTGAAAAAAGGCGCCAGTACCACCCGCTCATAAAGAGAAGAATTATCGATTACTAAAGTCCAAGTCTAGAGATGAGGAGGCTCGTGCAACGTTTCTTCTTTTTTGCAACGTCGAAGGGCGGCCGCAGAGATCGCTTCACTGTCAGCGTTACTGCTGCTGCTGCTGTTGCAGTTAATTGTGCGCCAACAGCGTGGGAGCTGATATATAACGGTCAAAGTTTTCATCGTACGCTCGGCGAGCTTTCGCTTTGCTCCCTTCGTTTGAAAAACATACTCGCGCGCGTGCACAGGCTCACACACAGACACACAGACACACAGACAAATACACAGGCGCACACGCAGAGCAAAGCTCGCGCAGACAAGTGGCGCATCTCCGCGTCGTACACATCGAACTTGCCTTTTCTCGAACGCCATTTCAATCGACTTTCTCTCTTCTTTTACTCATTCCTGCGGTATATCAGAAAACTCCCGGACGAGAATCGATAATTATTGCAGTCCTGCGCCATATTCAAAGCTCAAAGTTGAGTATTGAAAAGCACTAGTGCGCGAAAAATAACTTCGTGCAGAGTTGTGTTCTCTCTTTCTCTCTCTTGAATGCGGCAAAAGTGATATGAGCTTGTAAGTAAGCATGTAGCTTGCAGAGCAAACTCTGTCTGCATCTCTTGTACTTGCATACGCGCTTGAAGTTCCTTTAGCCGTTGTATTTGAAAAATTTTCGAGAGCTTGCCTCGTCTTGTAGTTGTTGCATATAGGCGAGGCATTACATTCCAAAGTACGAATTGCTTCTTGTTTCCTATACCACAAGTGTATCTCAATCTCGGATCAATGTGCAGCTGAAAAAAAACTTGTAATAAACGTAATTACAGGGTTATATCGTACTGTAGACTTACTTTTATTAACTCTCAATATTATTAGTTAAATAATCGTACAAAGAAGTCGAGTTACACTCCCTCGTGACGAATCGATGATGTAGCTATATTTTTTGAGTCTCGCTTGAATTATATCGACCTTTCCGAACTTGTTCTCGCACACATGCGTATGGACGAATAGTTTGCCGGCCTGACAAAATGTTCGAGAGGGAGCCACTTGGGACGTTGGGTGTGGATTTAAGCGAGGGTGGCACGAGGACCTTGCAGCAGCGAAGAAGGACATTCTTGGGCTCGTTGATAATTTATTTCTTGCCGATTCGCCTCCTAGAGTCTGAGCTATCTGACCGCAAGTTCAATTTACCGAGCTGTCGTCTTCCAGCTTCTCGCGGGCGTAATACATGCGTAGCCCTTCTCCACGCCTGGTTCTTTATCGTCGTCCACAACTATTTCTAAATCAATTAAAGTTGCCACATGCACATGAGCTAAGTTGAAGGTTGTTTAATCGAGAAACTTAAATTCCACATTCGCACACGCGCATCATACGTGGATTTCTTAATTCCAGTTAATTACTTTCGGTCGTTTCGGAGTCGAAGCACTCCGCAGAGCGTCATCAGCGCAAAAAATAGCGAAAATATCAAGGGAAAAAGCTGCAGCAGTGCAGTGGATGCGCAGTGGTCAGGGAAATTTCATCACTCTATCTCGCTGCTATACACACGGCGTACGTGCATGCGCGCGGCACTGCTTCGTGATAAAAGTGAGCTCGGAGAACTCTACGCACGTTCGTTGCGAATAGCACTACGTGTGCGTCTACGACTGCTGCTGCTGCCGCCGCCGCTGCTACTGCACTCTTCCCAATTTTGTGGCGCGATGCACACACGATTGTGTGCAGGCACGAACGAATAAACGTGCAAATTCAACGACCCGGATCCACACACCAGCACATACACTCAGGTGCAGAGTCGTGCAGGGGCGAGGTAGTAAGCGCGGTGCCACTCTTATGGCGTTGGTCGTCGAATATTTGAAAATATCGATCGACTCGCGCGCTCTCGGAGAGCGTCATGCGCTTAC